TTTCCTGAGTCTCACTGGAGTCTCTTCCCCTCAGCACTCTGCCCAGAACTCACCACAAACAGGTCCCCAGTATGTGTTTAAGCCATGAGTTCATGAACAAATGACTGTGTGGGTGATTGAAAATGGTCTTGATCGCCTTGTGGATACAGCTGAGGTAGGAAACGATGGTGCCGTTATCTCCCAGGTGGGTTGTCGGATAGTCATGCCAACTGAACGCTCAATACGGCATTGTTAAATGAAGAGGTTGAAGCGATTGAAAACAGGAGTGTAAATCTCATTGGCTCCTACCATCACTCTGAGGTAGTGCTCATGCTTCCATTGGGACGCGTTCTGGGGACATAGTGAAGGATACTGGGCATGCTCACATCTGCAGACTCAGGAGCCTCCCCAGGATGGAAAATCTGCTTTCAGCACTGAGAGCTGGTGACCTAATTACCCTACTTTCCCCAGAGTCAGCATAGGAGGAGAATGAAGGACAGCAGAAGCCGTTTATCCCAATTCCCTAGAAGCTGCCTTCGGTGTCGGTCAAGTTTAACAGTCAACCCCTGCCGTATAGTCATCTAGTTTACTCTGATCATAGTGACCCTGCAGGACAGAGTGCAACTGCCCACAGGATTCCATGGTTGTCCCCTTTCCCAAAACACACTGCCCCGTCTCCCCCTAGAAAGCCTTGTAGCCAATGGTCTTCACCCCAGTGCCACCAGTGCTCCTTCAGGTAACATCAGGGTCCTGAAGTGGCAAAAGGAAGGCAGTCTGTCTGTTTGTGGATAGACCCAGGGTCCACACCGTGGTGCTGAGGCGGCTTGCGGCCGCGAGGTAAATTCTGACTCACAACAACCCTGCCGGAAGTGGCTTACACTTTAAGATGGAGCCCTGGTGGTGGAGCTCACAAAAAGGGCCCATGGGAAAAGCAGCAGCATCTGCTTTCAAAAAGATTACTGTCTCAGAAACCCTGTGGTTGAATTCTACTCCGCCTGCAGGCCTGCTATACTTTACGGTCAAGCCAACGGCAACAAGATGCCTTCCTTATCCACTGGGAACCGCAGCTTGGACACCTCTCACCAAGCACAGGTACACACACCCCCGTGAGTTTCCTCCCTTTTCTTCCACAGGAGTCTGGTGTTGACCCTAAGCTTGGGCTTTTGTTGACCCTAAGCTGTGGGGAGTTGTGAGAAGTCCTGTGCCTTTCATTCTCATTCTTTGCTGACTTTGGGGAAAATAAGTTAATTAGGTCAATGGCTCTCCATGCTCAGAACAGGTTTTCCCAGTTGGTGGATGGCATCCTTGAAAAGTTTGTGTGAGAACCAGCCAGCCTGAACCGGCCAGCCTGAACCAGCCTCCCAAGTGTCCTTCATCATGCTAGCAGAACTCATTGCAGTGGAGCCAAGACCCAGCTGTCCTCCTCAGGAGGGACGGAACCAGGGTGCTGATAGCCAGGACCGTGTATGAACCAGGGAGCACCAAGGACTAGGGGAGAGTAAAAACAAAGGTACCAAGTCAAGTCTCCACTCATCATCCTAGCAAGCAGCATACTCATTGCAACCAATAGTCTTGACCAGTTGTTGTTAAGTGCCGTCGAGTCACAGACGACTCATAACGACCCTATGAAGGAGAGTCCTTGACGCTCTTGACCAGTTAACGGAGCTCAATAGCCCATCCAGATGTCCCCAACTCCTCACCGACCCACTTCACCCAGAGTGGCTGTGTCTCTATAAACACAGCTCAGTCCTCATCAACTAAACTCCCCAGAGTGGCACAGCAGCATAGCATTAAAGCACTCTGCTGCTGTTAACCAAAAAGTCAGTGGTTCAAATCCACTAGTCATTCTGCAAAGAGAGTTGAGGCAGTTCATTTCTGTGAAGGTCACAGTCTTAGACACTCTGTCCACCAAGGCTGCTATGAGTTGGGGTGGACTCATTGGCAGTGGGTTTGGTTTCTGGAACTCTGATGGTGTAGTGTATAACGTGCTGTGCTGCTAACTGAAAGGTCAGAAGTTTGAGTCCACCCGCTACTCCATAGGAAAATGATCAGTAGTCTCCTTCCATAAGTATTTACAGCCTTGGAAAGCCAATGACGGGTTTTCTGAATCCATCACACGGCAAGGGGAGAACACATTTGCCTCTAACTGGCCTGATCTTACTTAAGAGCCATTATTTTAGCAAAGTAGACTATTACATTTGTAGTGATGTCACGCATAATAATGATGAGATAAGGATGTATTTATTGTGCAAATTATACTTAGGAAAACTCTTTGGTGGTATCTACTAACGTTGACTCTATGACTTGGAAAGCTCATTTCTCCTTCTCTAAACTCTGTGTATCTGTCCATCTGTCTGTCTGACTGTTTCTCTCTCTCTCTCTCTCTCTCTCTCTCTCTGTGTGTGTGTGTGTGTGAGAGAGAGAGAGAGAGAGAGAGAGAGAGAGAGAGAGAGAGATCCCTTGGAAATGTATACATATCTCAACACCAGATAAGTTGAGGAAGAGAAGTTACTTGGGCGGCTGTGTCCCAGCGCTTCTCATCAGTCAGGGTTCAGACCACCTGTAGCCAGGTCTCAGCAGCAGGAGCCCTGAAAGCTTTTCGTTTTCAATTGTGTGTATCACAATCATAGTCCTTTACCCACAGAGGTGGCTCCACCTTTTGGATAAATGAAAGCAGTGGGCATGGATTATGCAGGCACCATTGTTAATGGTTTTCACTCATTCCTGGAATAGTTTAGTCTGTCTTGTCTTGTTCCTGTTTGTGCCATAATAAAAGGGTGTCAATAGGAAGGAAAAAAGAAAAAGCATACCTATTTCACCAAAAGACAGGTTTTACTGTGTTTGTGACAACACTACAGAGGTGCCTTTAAAGAAGGACTTAGCTACCTGGTAGCAGCTCTGAAATCCCGATGGGACCACATCCTGCTCTGACACACATGGTCTTGCCATGAGTTAGAATCTAACTAATGGCCTAATGGTAAGAAGCTGCACTGCAAGTCCGAAGGCATTTGGTTCAAATCCACCAGCTGTCCCACACAAGAAAGATGAATAATCTCTTATCATATACTTTACTACCTCTGAAAAACCAGCTGGAATGTCAGCTATGAGTCGGTTCCAACTCTATAGCACACAACAACAAAAACAACCACCATTGTAACTGGTGTAAAGTTAAAAGGGCTACAGGAACACTGTGCTTCCTCATAAGGCATCTGATTTCATTGCACAATGTTGTGTGGTTGGAGGTCCTCCTAGCACTTGCCTTGTCCTTTTAGTCCGAAGGTTAGAGTGATGTGGAGGAAAGAAGCAAGAGTGGGGACAGGAGAGAAGGGAGCAGGAGAAGAGCAGCTGGAGATAGGTTTATATCATATTCCTCCTCCTCAATGTCCCAACAAAAAGCATTTACTACAAGGCGACTTTTAGGAATGGATGGCTCTGTTCTACATCAATACAGTTCATCTAAAAGAAATAAAAACAGTTCAACGTAATGAAGAAGCACAACCAACAAACAAAAAGCCAACAAGACATGTAGTTTAAGAATATTTATTGTCAATAGCATAAGGGCAGTTCAATACTGAACCTTCAGAGCAAGACCCCCAAAGTTGAACTTAACAGTGAACAGCAGGGGTGTGAGGAAGAAAGGACTGTCACAATGAGGTCCGAAAGTGTATCTTTTGGGACCTGGATTAATGCACGAACCCTGAGTACAGTTCATTTATCAGCTCAACTTACAAACCACTATCAATTAAGTCACAAACTCCACATCCAAAGCAATGATTCGCTTATCAAGCAGTGCCCCAGCACCTGTGAACCCTTTGATAACTTTCATTACACTTTTTATGAAAGCATTAAGTACCTTCCCTTTGCCCACTATCACATTACACAAGCAAAAGATTCCCTTTAGAACTTACACAATCCAAGGTTAAGTCTAAATGTAAGAAATTCCAACCCTCATTACATTCATTAGAAACCACCCCCAGTCCAGTGCCAGCCAAATGACAGGTGGCAGTCTTGTCAACTGTAAAAGTCCATGTTGAGCAAACTCTGAGACTCCCCATAGTGGAGGCTACACATTGGCTCTTCTGTGTCTATAACCCCTTATCCAGCATCTCAAAGTGTGAAAAAACTCCAAAAGCAAATATTTCTACAAGTCACTGACATACTCATTTGATAGCGAACTTCACCACTATGGGGCTATTTAGAATATTTATATGTTATGTGTGAATAGTCTACATTTTGTTGCCAAAAATATTAAAGTAATGGTTTATAGAATGGTGCCCCTGACCCAAACAAGAGCATTTTGTTGCACCCAGCAGAAGGGTAAAGTAGAAGATCACCCCAAGAGAGGAAGACCCGAGATGAGATGGATTGACACAGTGACTGTGGAGTAATGTGTGTGGGAGACAGCAAGGCTGGCTCAGGATAAGGCAATTTTCAGACCTGTGGTTCCTAGCTGACTGAACAACACATAACAGCAAGAGTTGATTCAGCATTTTAATACACATCCAATGTCCGAGTTTAGTATAAGGAATTGTGGCCCTAGAAGTAGGCTGAGCATACGTCTGAGTTTTACTGTGAGTCTCACACGCCACAGTGTTGGTGGTCTTCCAGGGAAGTGAAAATGGCTAAGCAGCCTGTACCCAACCCGAATACAGGAAAAGTTCTGGGAACAGAAGCTTCCAGATCCTCCTTACAGGACTGGGCTTTGTAGAAGACTATCTGAATAACTCAGCTCAGTCACTTATCCATCAATGACCCTGGCTAGCTCAACAAGCAACGAATAAATATATGTCCCGGAAGGTGATTCATTTTCACCAAGAGCGTTTATCTTTGTCTTTTATGGGAGGATAATGGGAAACAAAATCAAAGAATTGGGAAAAGACAGGCTTACGTGTATAAGGCTGTGTATGTGAACCAGTTGTTTCTTGATACAACAATATCAAAAATTTATTGTATTTAGAAAGTACTTTATCAACATTGGCAAATACAGCAAAGTCAGGGGAGACATAGCATGACTGGACTGCTTAAGGAGAACAGAACTTTCCAAAGAAAATGATGTTTCGAGTTTTGTTGTGCCTGATGATGTAAACAAAGGGGTGGTCAGCATTGAACTCATCTTTGTGTTGCAAGATGCGTGATCCCGGCACCTCAATGGAATCACCCCCGTCTTCCGTGATTTCTAAGCACACATGGTGGACCACATTGGACAGGGCCACCCCCTTGGTCTCTGAGAGTCCAGAGAAATCTGAGGAATTTTCGTTAAAGATACTTTTCAGCCCTAGGTTCTCCAGACTAGCCTTGGGGTCAATCATCTTTTCCACCTTAAACTTGGGAATGGAGAGCTTCACTTTGGCATTGGCCATGGTGCTGGGATTGGTCCACTGTAGCAGTGTCTCTGAGTTGAGTTGTTTCTCAACCTGAAAGACCACATAGAGAATAAATTCTTATTATTTATTTCCAATTATAAAAGTTCTTGCTTGGTTACCAAGCATAAAGAGTCTTTGTGAGGCCAGTTTCAAAGCAGTCTGAAAGACTTGTCAAAGGTCAGATGAGTCTTTGTACATGACCAGCCCCAGTTATAAAAGATCCACCACCTACTATTCTCCTCACCCTGCAACTATGCTCCCTTTGCCCTGAAAATTATGAGTGAAGTGAGGTTACTTTTTTAGTTACTAAGTAGTTTTAGATTTAGAAGCAGGAGTTATAGGAACAAATAAATGGCTTATACGTGTTCCATAAGTGATCATGAAACAAACATATAATTAGAAAGGTTTTCATATGGGTCATATTTCTCGAACAAGAAATATCATTTCTTTATGAGGAAATCCAAAATATCCGTGCATTAGGCATGAGATCCAATGTAATAGTTCACATTAAATCTATAGCTACTCTTATTTAAGGAGAGTTTGGATAGTGACTGAGGCAGTCTTTAAGATTATAGATGATAAATGTGTTCCTTTCCACTAACTTTTTAAATGCGAGAGATAATTAGGAGAAAAATTACTGGGGTCGTGAAAGTCTTGATGGGGCAACTCTCAAGCCGCCCACCCCCTACCTTTTCCAGGCCTGTGGTCTCGTCCTCCACGTCCTTGGGCAGCAGGATGAGCATGCTGAGGTGCTTGTTTTGAAACGGAAGCTCTATGATCTTACAGTTGACGTCATCGATGTGGCCCAGGCAAAATGTGGCCTCCAGATTCATCATTTGCACTGGTTTGGTGTCTGTCTGCAAAGAGAGAGGGCACTTAGCCTGCTGGCTTTTCAATTGACACACGCTCGAAATGTATAAACACACCAGGTGTTAGAACCGGCTCAGAGCTGGCCCTCCAGCTGGTTTTCAAGGCTGTAAATCACACAGGCAAGTCCCCATCTTTCTCTGAAGGAACCACTGGTAAATGTAAACCACTAGAGAGGTTTACAGCTTTGAGTTAGTAGTCCAGCTCCCTACAGTCTATACCACCAGAGCTCCCTTATATGTGGGAGAGAGAGAATGTGTAAGCGTGTGTGTGTGTGTACACAGAATGTATATATAGTATGTATAAACAGTATGTATATACAGTATGGATCGATGTATGCACATATAAATATAGTGTGTGTATGGAGGATATACACATAAATATAGTATGTACATATGTATATACATATATATTACAGAGAGCAGAAGTGAACATGACCACAATGACCTCATTTTTTGAAGAACAAAATTGACTACATGGTCAAACACAGTCCAGAAAATATGGAATAATATATATATATACACACACATATGTGTGTGAATATATGTTGTTGTTGTTGTTGTTAGGTGCCGTTGAGTCGTAGACGACTCATGGCGACCCTATGTACGAAAGGCCTGATCACTGTTCGTACATAGAGATTCCGGAGGCAAGCCATTTCGGAAGTGGATGCCACTCCTGCTTCCAGGCTTGTTTTAGTTGGGAAGCTCCAGCAAACACTGTCATCCACCATGGGTAACCATTACCACGTTTGGCACATCAGTGTCCCAGTGTTCAGAATCACAGCAACCACGAGTTACCTCTGTACAGACCAGTGATGTACATACGTATATATAGATACATATGTGTATATATACATACATGTGTATATATACATACACATGTGTCCATAGGTATACATAAATGTATATAAGAATGTGTGTATATGTGAATATTATAAGTATATATGTATAGATATATGTGAGGTATATATAAGTAAAAATGTGTAAGTATATATGTGTGTGTGTTTAAATACTTACACGTTTGTATATATAATTATATATCTGTATGTAGAAGTATTTATTTGTGTATATGTGTGTGTGTGTGTGTACACCCATATAAGGAAGTTCTGGAGGTCAAGTGACTAAGGAGTTGCACTGATAACCTAAAGACAAATAGTTCAAATCTACCAGCTGCTTCATAAGGAAAAAACTGAATAATCTCCTTTGGTGTCATTTATAGCCTCTGAAAACTCACTGAAGGATTTATTATGAGTCCGTTCTAACTCAAGGGCACCTAACAATATATATGTATGTGTATACAGAAGTGTTGTTGTTGTTGTTAGGTGCTATTGAGTCGAGCACAACGCCTAGAGACACTATAAACGATACAGAAGTGTATGCATGCGGATATATAAATATATGTACGTATAAGTATAGAGCTGATTCTATGGCACCTAACAACTACGTGTGTGTGTGTGTGTGTGTGTGGGCATCGATACGTGTGTATATACGCGCTTGTGTGTGTGTCCGTTCTCTGGAGAACGAAATCCCATTCTTGGTAAAACTGAGGGTCAGTACAAATGAGAAGATCCTCCATGAGCTGGATTGAGACAGTAGTTGCCACAATGGGCTTAACCAAGGCATGATTGTGAAGACGGCACAGAATGAGACGGGGTTCAGTTTGTTGTACATAGAATAGCAATGAGTCAGAGCCAACCTGATCCCACCTAACAACAATATTCATATACATGTGTGGAGATACATACATAGATCTAAATCTAGATCTAGAGCTATAGATTGTTCTAGATCTATCTATATATCTCCACACATGTATATGTGTATATATTAATATGTTGTGCATGTATGTTGTTTTTGTTGTTGTGGATTGCCGTCAAGTCGAACGTGACTTGTAGCGACCTTATGAACAAAAAACCTGGAGCCTTTCTGTAACTATTGTTGTTTCTCAAAGTTCATGGTTCAGGTTGTTTAGGAAGTGGGTGCACATGCTCGTGCGTGTACATGCTGTGAGTTAGCACCTCTGTTTGACTAGGCATTATATTAAACTTTAATAACATGCCTTCAACTTAGTCTCCCAATGATGGAGACATCATAGGACATGAAGAAAGGGTTGGTAATGTCACATAAAAAGCTTAGAGGCTGACAGAAGCAGTTCAAGAGAAGCCAAGGAAAAGTCCTAGTTCCTGTATTCAAAGGGAAGGTGTGGCCCAAACTTCTGTGGGTAGCTCTTACAGTCTTCTAAGGTGTCACACAGGGAGATCAATGACATTTCCCAACCCTGGGAATTCTATGGACTCGGAATCTGAATTTCCAGGATCTAACAGGGTCTTGCTGTTTTGCAATTTAGTAATAAAAACAAAGGAATGGCATCTATTATTATCTTCTCAAAACACTTTCTGAAATGTAAAAAATTATGAACCTCAATGTGGTCGGCAGAGAAGTCCCTATCTGGTCTGACCACCCTGTGTCCTCTGAGAGGAGTAGTTAGCTAACACGTTTCCAATTTCTCTTTGAACATATTTCCTTTTACTCTTGTTGACAGTTACCACCGAGTAGATTCCAACTCTTGATTGCCCCTGCGTGCACAGTAGAACTACTCCATAGGGTTTTCAAGGCTGGGATCTTTCTGAAGCAGATGGTAGACTGTCCCTTCTGAGAGATCCCTGGGTGGATCTGAACTAACAACCTGCTGGCTAATAGTCCTGTGTTTAACTATTTGTCACAGCCAGGAACTTCTTTCTAACATTATAGAAATTTGGGGGGGGGGGGGAAGCCAATCACCAACCAAATGGGATGCAGGAGATACTGGAAAGAGGAAATGCCTAGTGGGCAGTGCCCAGGTCACCCTAACTGTCGGTCCTTCTGTGCAAAGGAAAGATACTTCGCAAGTCAAGTCCTGTCTAACACTCCAGGGCCTGTTGAGTCTAAAGGATTTCCTGTTGGGAGTGTAGCATCTTAGATATATCCCATATTTAGTAGATTTGAGAAGGCCCCTGCCATTTATTCAGGAAGAAGCAGTGGAAAGAGGGCCTCATGACACCCTACTCATGGGTTTTCTGAGCAGAGGAGCAAGTATCATTGATTCAAATGTATCCTTGCCCAGAGAAAATGCCCAGTGGATCTTATAAAAGGGTGCAGGGTGTGATCCCAGAGACCAACAGCAGGTTTTGTCTGCTGTTGACAGTTTCATCACCTTGACTCTTCAAGAGAATCAATCCAGTCAATGGACTTTGGCTGAGGACTTAACATTGTGTCAGGGATTGGGCCAAGGACGGAAGATGCCAAAATGAGGAAGATATGATCCTTGCCCTTGGACAGGCCACACATTCATGGAGAGGAGTGGAGAGATGTAAACAATCCTATTTCACCATGAAACCACAATGGAAGGGAAAACCAAACCAAACCCATACCATTGACGCACATCAAATGGAAAAGAAGCAAGGGGAAGAAAACCTTTAAGGGAATCAAAGACAGAGGATCAAAAGTCTGGCTAAATCCAGACTAGGCTGGATCTTGGGAGACTTTCCCTCTGGGTTCCAGAATTTAAAAAGAACTGCTGGTGCAGTGAAGTCTCTGTCGTGGGACAATGAGTATGTACTCCTCTGCTAACCGAAAAGTAGTCATTCCAATCAAGTCACTCTATAGGGGAAGGATGTGGCAGTCTGCTCCCATAAAGACTGTTGTTGTTTACCATCAAGTCAGAACTGACCCATAACTGACCTTCCAGCAGGTTTTCAGAGGCAGTAAACAGCATGGAAAAGACTGGCAATCTTTCTCGTGCAGAACAGCAGGTGGCTTTGGGATGGCAGCACAACTCCTTGCCACTAAACCCTCAGTGTTCCCTCCATGAAGATTACAGCCTTCTAAACCCCATGGGCAAAAAATCTTCTGTGTCCTATAGAGCCTCTACAAGTCGGACAAGCCATTGGTAATAGGTTTTTGGTCTGAGTTATTTTATTTGGGGTAGACAAGATTGCTTGATGCTAAGTCTCTATACACTGGGAAGAAAACTGAAAAGTAGAACTGATGCATAGGAGCTCCAAGTGAGTGCCCTGCCTGATTCCTACTGCCCCCAGATTCGCATTGGAAAGGGATCACTTTCCCATCTCAGTCATTTGCTTTCACCTAGATGAGGTCTTTGGGCTGCATGCAGGGACTCATTTTCAAGTGAACACATTTCAGCAGTGGTCTTGACTGAGTGATTGTATTCTGCTACTATCTTGAATTATAGCCTTTTGGCTTTCCTAATATGGTTCTAGTGGTCTGTGAACTATTGAAATGGATTTTGGACCCATTAAAGAGTAAGACTGATGTTGGGATGAGTAGAAAGAGGAGCAGGAACATGAGGTACATGCCTGGCCTCCTGGAAATTGGTTTTGTGTTATTGATGTTGTTGACGGGACAGTTCCCCTTTGTGGAGCTGGTAAACGTCACATACAGCCATCCCTACAACACCCTTGCTCTTTTCACAGTGAGTTGACATCACTAACCTTTTAGTAAGCAGCTGAGTACTTTAACCACTGTGCTACGAGGGCTCCTTCACTCACTGAGAACTGGGGGTGGCCATGAAATGACCTCACAGACTTTTGCACAAACCAGATTTCTACTCAGTCAAGGTTTCAGGCTAATCTACAGAACTCAGTTTCTGCGGGTGGGTGGGTTGGTTGGTCAGTTGGTTCCAGATATTGGCATCCATTTGCCAGCTCATGATTTCGTCTTGCCCTCTGAGTTCTACGTTCTCGAGCAACTTTCTCAGCTCAAACTCAGCAGCCATTGGGGGAAGAGTGAGCGTCTGAATTCTGGCTTTTTCTCCCTGTTACCACGGGCTGTTTGTCCAGGACAGGCCAGGTCCCTCCTGAGGCTGGTCTTCCTCCTTGGAATGAGTTTCCCCAGACCCGCCGTGCTGTAACTCTCCACATAGACCTGAGGTTCCCTCTAGGGCTAATGAGTCACCTCATACCTTGTTGACTCTGAACGGGCATTCTTTTGTTTCCGATTCAGGAAATTTCTTCATCCACTTTCCAACAAAATAGGCAGCATTTACCACAAGGAGTTTTGTCTGGTCGTTAACAGTGTTGTCAGCTAAAATGTTCTCAAAGCGACCTGCAACCAATTGCACAAAACCACAAATCACAGTTACTCATCCAAACACAGTCTGAGGTCCACAGGCGTGTCCACCCTGGGAGTTACCACTTGCTGGAGTCAAGTCATATGTAGCCCTAAATCAAGATATAAATAAAAACTCTCTCACTATGTCTACCCTGTGCCAGGCCATGTGCTGGGCATTTTATGTTCTCTATGTCAGATACTCCTTCCATTTTACAGATGTGAAAACTGAGGCCAGAGCCATTAAGTTACTTGACCAGAGGTCATGAGCAAGGATGGATACGGGGGGTTGAAATCCAGGTCTTTGTGACTCAAATGCTCAAAGAAAAAGCCAGAAAAGTTGCTATGAGCCTGGCTGGGTGGGCTCAGTGTTTTCACACAAGGCAAACATCAATGCACCTTCCCCATTCCAATGCTGAGGAAATTAGCCAAGTGAGACTCCAGTTTGCACGTCTGAAAAGCAAGTCCAGCCAGATACCAGGCATTGATGCTCTCCCCCTCCCCACATGGACTGAAGCTATAGATAGGCTATAGGATCCCCAGGTCTGCTGGAATCCAAGGCTCAAGGATCTACCGCTGCTGTAATGGCAGGCAGACCCCAGATTACGAGTTATACACCTCTTCTGCTTGCCCTTAGAAAACAAACTCACTGCCACCATGTGGGGACCAACTCACAGCCTCTCCTCCAGGGCGTTTTCTGAGGCTGTTAATCATACAGGAGGAGCCTGCTCATCTACCTCCCTCAGAGCCTCTAGTGGACCCCAATCTCCAGAGAGGTACCACCTTTGAGGTCCTAGCAGAATCCCCTGTGGTCACACCACCAGGAGTGAACCAACCCCTACTCCCAACAAATTCTTCATCAGTCATCGGCACTTGCTTCACATGCAGCTCTTCAATCACTGAGAAGTCTTTGAACCTCCTCTTGCACTGAACAGCATCTCCTCTAAGACAGCACTGTTGTCTAATTGACTCAAACTCCTAGTGACCCCACAGGACAGAGCAGAACTGCCCCTCAGAGCTTGCAGGCTGTAAGCCTGTGTGGAGGTAGTCTCTTTATTTCATCTTTCTCCTGAAGAGTCCTTAGTGGATTCAAACTGGGAACAGTTCAGAGAGCCCTTCATCACTTCTCTTATCACACCACAAGAGGGCCTTCTTTCACTAACGTGAGGCTGAATAAACATTTTAGATTCTGGGGCTTCGTCTGACATACTTTGGACATATTATAAGGAGGGACAGGTCCTTGGAGAGGGACATCAGGACATCATGCTTGGGAGGGTGGAGGGACAGCGCAGTAGAGGAAGACCCTCTATGAGGTGGATTGATTCAGTGACTGGGGTAATCGGGATGGGTGTGTCAGAGGCGGTGCGGTTGGCGCAGGATAGAGCAGGGTTTAGAGCTGTTGTGCATAGGGTCGCTATGAGTCGGAAACGACTCGATGGCACATAACAACAGCAGCAATTTCGTTTCTACCCTAGAAACTAACCACCTTGTAGAACTCAAAGCCCCAGCACAAGGGCCCTCAAAACATATTATCCTATTTCCCTACATAAATTCATAGAATTTTAGAGCTAGAAGCTGCTTCAGGAGTCATCAAGTCCAGTCCCTTCGTTTCCAGTGTGGAAAACCAGCCTGTTCACTTGGACAAAGCCCTGCTTTGCTTCTAAGGTTTTGTTTATTGGAGTGTGTTGCCATCACACTTGGACCTGAGAGCAAGTAACGATGCTCAGAAATGAAGCCCCAGGGATCTCTGCCAAGTGATGAATGATGCAAAACATAGACATGGCCAGAAATCTACACTGCGGTTTTGATGGACCAGAGTTTATCTTGTATAATGAAGACATCTGAAGAGTTTTTCAGATGTTCCATTCCTATACACCTGACTGATGGAGACTTAAAAAGACAAGGCCTGGTTACAGCAGAATAAGTAACGAGTACTTGCCATCTGTGAGTTCCTTAACTGACTTGTTGATCTGGTCCTTTGTTTCTTCTATCTTGTCTTTGAAGTCAACGGTCTCCATTTCTTTCGCATAGGGTCTCTTCGTTGAACTGATGAATTCCTGAAAACACCCAGGAGTTTAAAATCACAAAGCACTGAATCAAGATGAACGATCACCTCATTTGAAATAAAGCATTTTCTTCTATCAGATATTCATTTATTAACTATAAGACAACTGAATTTATTCAATGCATTCATCAATTTTACTTTAGCTTTTGGGGTGGGGGTGGAAAGAAACCCTGTGCTAGTAACTGAAAGTTGACAGTTTAAATTCATCCAGTGGCTTCAAGGAAGAAAATGCTACTGACCTGCTCTTGTAAGATGAGAGCCAAAAAAAACTCTATGGGAAGTTCTACTCTGCCATGTGGGATTGTTAAATGAAACTCAACTTGATAGCACACAACAAAAACACATTCAGTGTACACAGCAATTATAATACTGATTCAACTCTAGAAATTTACAAATGTTCTCTTTGTAAGTAAACCAGTATAAAATAAAAATTTATTTGTATCTTTGATCAAAGACACTCTACAGAGAGAGAAGATAACTTGATGATCAGAAACCTCTTATTGTCAGTGAAGATAAATTGCACTGGCAAAGTCAGCTGTCAGGGACCTCTCCAAAGCACTGAAGAGCAAGGATGTCAGACTAAGGTGCACCGGGGCTATAGTCTTCACAATTATGTGCTATGCATCAGAGAGTTGGACAGTGACTAGGGATGAAAGAAAGAGAATTGATGCCTTGAGCTGTGTTGTTGGAGAAGAGTGTTGAATATAGCATGGACTGCTAGGAGAACAAACAGGTTTGTCCTGGAGAGGGTGAAACCAGGCTGCTCCTTGGAATCAAGGATTCTGAAGCTTTGTCTGACATACTTTGTGTATGTTGCAAGGAGGAATTGGTCATTGCAGAGGGCCATCATGTTTGGAGAGTGCAGGGACAGTGCAGGAGAGGAAGACCCTTGATGAGATGGATCAATTCTGTCATTGGGGTGGTGGGAATGATTCTGTTGGAGACAGTGAGGTTGGCACAGGATAGAGCAAGATTTAAGACTTTTGTACATATGGTCACTATGAGTCACAAGCGACTTCACAGCACATAACAACAACAACAGATCTACATACACTTCCCAAGTATGATCCAAAGGCCAGGATGCTCTCCTACCACTACCAACCCTTGTAATCAAGGCCACAACAGATAAACCCTGACTGAATGGGAGGAAAATGTGGAATTGAATCGCACATTCTTAAGAGATCAAACAAGGCCTGGACTGGCGCAGACTGGAGCACTTCCCTGAAGTACTGTCTTATATGCTTCCCACACCTTGAACCGAAACCAATCCCTGATATCACCTCAATCACAGACTGGCTCCAAAAAGCCATTCATATGCTCCTTAAATACTGTGGTTCTTTTAAAAATCACTCTTAGGAAAGCAAACAATCCTTCATCAACTTAAAAGCAAGATGAAAATACAAGGGGACAGGAAACAGAGATTCATGGAGATAGAAGCACTGGGACAGGAATACTGGAAACGGTCTACACATTGCAAGGAATATAACCAATGTCATGGAACAACTTGTGCAGAAATTGTTAAACAGACCCTACACTGCTGTATAAGCCCGTGCTGAAAACGACACAAAATATTGTCCAACTGAGGGACAAAATCCTCACAATGCCTAGTCTGAAGTAATTCAAATGTTGAATAGACGTGCAACCAAACTGAAGTGTACCTGAACCCCCAGCAGCCCAGGAGGATAGAGCATGACTGCCCTAAAGGGTTTTCAAAAATGAAATTATTTACAGAAGCAAACAGACACATTTTTCTGCCATGGAGGAAATGGTGGGTTTGAACAACCAACCTTTGCCTTAGCAGTCAAATATTTAATCATTACCTCACTGGGATCATCTGATTAAACATCACGTGATAGCACATCTAAGCACAAAAATCCTTGAATTTCATCAGAGCACCTCAGTCTCCGACAGCTATTCTGTTCATTTCAGTCCAACCTTGGGACTAACTGGTATCATTGACTTAGAGCTACTGGCCACCTAAGATCATCAAAAGGCCTCTCCCACACAGGGCCCTCTACTGCCGTCACTGCCACCAAAAGACATGTGGCAGGGCTCCATAAGGACCAACTACAGCTCATTCAAGTTTTCCAGGGCCAGTGCTCAAGTCAGATTGTAATTTTTTTTTTGTTTTTCCATTCCTCCAGTGGCTGCTAGACTCAATATCGAGTGGCCTATGTCCCCAAAAGTTCTTGACCAGAACAACATGTCTCCTGAAGAAAATAAGAAAACTATGGTGAATTATGCTGCTTTTAGGATTGGAAAGTTTAAGACTTTGGCCGTTCAAACATGAATGTAAGATCATTTTACTCCCTATTGACTTTGCTAATAAATATTTTTCCTTCCTGAAAAAAAATATTAATTTTGGTTTAAAAAGGTTAAAGGCTTAATAATGTGAAAAGCTACTCCCAGGAAGCTGACTCTTTTTAAGAGCTGTAAACAACTTACTGTAGAAGGATTCAAAGATTTGTCTACATAGAGCCGTTTGATGAGTTTCAATGAGTAGAAGGAGCTGAGTTTGTTTACGTCCGATGTCACTGTTTGAAATCCAAAGGGGACATCTTTGACATTTTCAAAATGAAGAACCTATAAAGAGAAGAAATTCATTACCCACAAAGCATCACGCGTACGGAGGGCAGGAGTATTGTCTCCAATTCTCAGTCACTGTCACCTGTAATCTCTTCAACTGACCCGAATAACACTTCTCAGGTCACACTTTCTGGGAAATTTGAGGGTAAAAGAAGATATTTCCTGAGAAAATACCTGGAAACACATGGAAAGTTGAATCTAAAAATGATTTACGTAAGAAGAATAATTGAAGGGCCTTCACCTATTACTGAAAAGCAAACAAGGGCTTAAGATGTAACAGTTCTGAAAAACACCCTGTTTAAAAGTCTCAGCACAACGTAAAGCACTTTACCTTGCAAGGAAAAAATAGCCGAAAAAAGAAAGCATAAAGATAGGCAGTTAGATAATTATATTTACACTTTCAAAATGCTTGTATATATACGTTGTTGGTTCTCATGAGACGCTCAAGCCCCAGAGAGGACACTAACATCCCTAACTGAACACAAGTTGTTCTCTTATTCACCCATGAGACTTAAAGGCAGATCATTTGATGTGCCATGTATTAAAATAAGCATGGATATTTCTTAGGGTAGAATGTCAATGAGCTTCCATCTTAAAATGGTACAATCACTCTGGAAGGCAGTTTGGTGCTTCCTCAAAAAGCTGAACAAAAGAAATTCCATATTACCCAGCTATTCCATGGCTAGGAATATACCCCAAGGGCATTAGAACTGAGACACAGAGCTCTGTACACCAATGTTCTATCTGTACATCAATATTACTCAAAATTGTAAGAACATGGAAACAACTCAAATGTCTACCCACAATCTAATGGACTGAGAAACTGTGGTGCATTTACATGATGGAATACTATGCAGCACTCAGGAGAGGAGCAATGACTGAAAAATCACTACATATCTTGGGAGAGACTGGAGGGCATTATCCTGAGTTAACTAACTTAGTCTCATAATGTTAAGTATTACATAGGACCATTATTGTAAAAACAGAAAGATAACTATAGCAAACACATATAAGTATTAAAGGGGGAGGGTTAGTAAGAGAGAGGTGATGGTGGGCAGGGGGAAACCACCGGGTTACACTATTTAATGAGTGGAGGGGGGGGGAAGTAAAAGAAATGGGAAGATCCAGCAGGAATCTCGAAAGACAGGGTAATGAATGGTAAGCACGGTTCAATGGTGACTGATTTTATAAAACATAGTGAATGAGAAAGATTGTATTAAACACAATGTATACAAACTTTGTGTTCAAACCAATGTAATTTTTTTAAGTGAAATATGATGCTTTAAATAAGTGTTGTGCTTTGGGTCAATGGCTGTGCTCTCTGTTCAAGCCTAGGAGATGGTGTGTAGATCCAACTTCCTTTCTGCATAGGGTATGTAAGCACAACGTTTAATAAACACTCCTTGACCGTTGTTGTTGTTGTTGTTGTTGTTGTTGTCAAGTGCAGTCGAGTCACAAACCACTCATAGTGACCCTATGAATGAAAGATCCGAACATTTGTATAACTTTCATCATTTCTCCACATCCATAGAGTTTCTGAGGCAAGCCATTTTGGAAGTGGATGCCACTCCTGCTTCCAAGCTTATTTTAATTGGGAGCTCCACCAAACACTGTCCACTAAGGGTAACCATTATCTCATTTGACACATCACTGTCACAGTGTACAGCTTCACAGCAACCACAAGTTACCTCTGTACAGCAAATGGACGGACCAGTGCTATACCACTTAGAAGAATCTTTGACTAAAAACAACTAAAACCAGGCCGGAGGGCTGCAGATTAAAATCACCACCCTTGGCTTGGTAACATCACTTTCTATCCACTAGGCTAACAATTTTGGCCTATAATCACAATAAAAGGGAAAAGATGCTGGTTGACTTGCTCACAGTTGCTCAGTAGTAGGAAAACTCTGTCTACCAGAGGGCCCTCAGAGTCTCATCCCACCATGGTGCCTGTTTTAAAAGTGTGTCCTGGGCAGCTCAACAAGTGTTTCCTTTCAAAGCAGACAGAGATCATCATGGAAACAGTACATCTCTCAATCCTGAATTGTTCTGACCCTGACATTAACTTTCCTCCAGGCTCTGCCTGTGGGGCCCAAGGCCGTTATTCCCGCTGAGGGACTTACCTGTCCGATTTCGTTTGCTGTATCACCTTTGGCACCAACTTGAGCAAGTGACAGAGAAGTAGAAAGACAGATAGGAGAGAAGATGACGTTGCTTGCCGGGTCCTTTTCACACAGCTGCTTGAACAGGTCAACTGCAAAAGCGGAGTTTGCCAGTCTCAGGGCATCCATTGCAGGCCTAGAACCAAGAAAAGGACAAGACAGGTTCATTCTCGGGGTCTCTGGACAGAGTTCAGAACAGCATACTGCCAATACGAAGAAGGTCTATTCTAAGCAAGTGGTGGTCTTCCGTGATCCTCCTGAGTTCTCGGTCCCTTCCAACATCTTCATGTCGACCATGGACCTTCCTCTGGGCTTGGATTTGCTGTGATTGTTGGTTTCCATTGGATTAACCCAACTCACGATGTGTGGAGTCGAGCTGCCCCAAGTGGTTTTCAAGGCTGTGCTCTTTCAGAAGTACACCACGATGCCTGTCCTCCAGGGCGTCTCTGGCTGGGTCTGAAGCACTAAACTTTTGACCGATAGTTGAGCACTTAACCACTTGCACCACTAGAGAATCCTTAACTGAGAGGCATATCCCTTCCTTGAGTAGAAGACAGAAATAAACTTCATGTGAACTCAAAACACAACCATCTCGGCAAGAGCTCCAAGGTCTCAATGCCCCACATTTCAAAAGCTATTCCTTGGAGAGGCACAACATGCTTAAAAAGGTGAAAGATCAGAAAGCTCTGGTGGCCTAGCGGCAAGAAGCTGCACTGCAGTCCCAGAGGTATGCGGTTCAAATCCACCAGATGCTTTGCTGGAGGAGGGACAATCTCCTTCTGTATCAGTCAGATCCGATTTGATGGTACACACACAAAATAATAATAAAATAAAAAAAGGTGAAAGGTCAACAGAAGAGAGGAAGACCTTCAATCAGATGGATAGACATGGTGACTACAGCAATGGGCTCAAGGGTGTCAGAAATGACAAGGATGGACCAGGACAGGATCTGTTGTTCAGAGGGTCACTAGGAGTCATACTCAACTGAAAGACACCTAACAAAACAATATCAAGTGGCCATCATATGTCCAATGTCTTATGTCCCAAGAGCCAACATCACTGCAAATCTTTCCGTTTTGTTTTCTCTGTTACAGAGGTAACATCTTTATGTACATGAAAGCTATGTTCAGGAAAGATACATGTGTATTAAGTACACAAACAAAAAGGATTTCACTTAAAGCTCCAGCAGAGACAATACTACAACTTTTAATCACGTGGAAGTGTAAAAAGCATTTCTGATTTCCTGTAATAGGAGTTAGGAGAGTAGAAGCATAAAATCAGTGTTAAAAATCTATTCATGAAATGACCCAGTTTTCTGCATGTTCCATAAAGTCATGGGCCTTCCAGGAGGTGTGGGAGCTCCGAGTTTATCCAACCCGCCCCATCTCTTCATTTCAGAGAGAAGGAAAGTGAGGCTGGCGAGGCCAAGTGGTTTCTCACGGCCACCCACACAGGGAGAGTGGAAAAACCAGAACTGGGGTGTCCTCCCAGCTCCCGCCCTCACACGCCCCACCCAACCTCAACCCCAATCTGTGTCTCCCTCGCCTCAGTAATTACTCCACAGCTGGCATCGCAGCTCTCAGAAGTCTGTAAGCAAAACAAACAAACCCCACAGCCATCCAGTCAATCCTGACTCACAGCCACCCTGCGAGACAGAGTGGAGCTGTCCATAGCCTTACCAAGACTATGAGGATTGCAGGGCAGCTGTGGATTCGAGCCCCTGACCTTCGGGGTAGCAGCTCAACACTTAACTAGAGGCAGTGGTTCAAATCCACCAGCAGCTCCTCAGCTTCAGGAACTCAGTGAAGTCGTTCTGCTCTGTTCTGAAGGGTTGCTGTGAGTTAGAATGCACTTGTCAAAGGAGGCCCGGAGGCCTATCTAGTCCAGGAGTTGTGGACGTAGGCCAAGTCTCTCTGGAGGTTTGAATTCACCAGCGCTTCCCAGGGAGAAAGCTGGGCAGTCTCTTCCTGTGTGATTTACAGCCATGGAAACCCACTGCCGGGTCCGCTATGAGTCACTTCTGACTCCTGGGCAATGAGTTGAATCATTGAGTTGAAGGAGTTGAATCAGGCACTGAGTTAGACACTAAGAAAATGGAGGTGAATTCTACACGGTTCCTGGCTTCGTGGAATGTTGGTCTAGTTTTCTTGGCTGTCTTCTTTACTAAATCAGATCGCCATACCTCTCTGCCACTACACCTTTAGGTATGTTTGAACCGCCAGCTTCCAATCTGAAGCTGATAGCAAACCTGCGTTCACGGGTGCGCACACACACACACACACACACACGGGATGCTGACAAGTGTGAAGAGTTTGTTACTCCTTTGGTGTGAGGGGCTAGAGTGTGGGACTGATATGCATGAGGGGTGCCTTGATAGGACGCACAAGGGACATGGGAGCTCTTAGGAAGTACAGATGGCCCATCCTAGAGACTCAGTCACCCCTCCTCAGAGAGCAAGGCATCTGCGCTGAGTTACACACTAAAGGTGAGAGCACAGGGCAGGCAGGAGTTAATCATGCAAAGTGTGTGTCCCAGAGAATTGACGCAATGTGGACACGGCGAGGTCCCAAAGGAGTGGAGCAGCATGGGACAGTTGAGAGAGGGCAGGGAACTGAACGGATCAGTGAGGAGTGTAAAGAAGGAAACAGGGAGTCAATACCAAAAGTTGTGTGTGCATATATATGTGAGTGTGTGTGCACATGCAAGTGTGTGCATATGTGTGGTACAGGTATCCTACGTGTGTGCTCTGTGCACATCTTTGCATGCATCTATGTGGGTACATACGTGTATGTATGTTCATATCTCTGTGCATGTATGTGAGCATATGTAAATGCATGTGTGTACATGTGTGAGTGTGTGTATGTGTGAGATGCCAGAGTTCACAAGTCTGAGGATGAAAATAAAGAGTCATTGAAGTGTCTTGATCAAAGTGAGGAAACCTAGTCTCAGGTTAGGGGGGTTTGGGGGAAATTGCCTTCAACAAGAGGAAACACTGAGAAAATCAGTAGGGATGGAGAGTAAAAGGTAGAACTCAGAAAGTGGGAGTTGTCCTGGATTGAATTAGGTCTCCCCAAACAAGACAAGCATTGCAAAGTTAATGGGGGGAGGTGGGCGGGGGAAGGAAAATGTGCATCTATGAATAAATGAAAATTCAAACTTTCTGTAAACTTTCGTTAAAATTGCAACTAAAAAATACTAAAAAAATATGCATGTGCATATATGATGTGAACAGAGCTCTGATGGCCAAGTAGTAAGAAACTGTGCTGCCAACCCAAAGGCACACAGTTCAAATCCACCAGGTCAAATCCACCATCATGGGAGAAATATGGGCAATCTAATTCCAATTAACTACCTCTGAAAACCCTCTGGAGGGTCAGCTATAAATACAGCACCTAACAAAAACACAATGATATCAAATGGAAGCTATGTACTGACTCCTGTGATCTGACAAACTAAGGAGTTTTATAAGAAGCAAAGTTGGGATGCAACACTCCTCAGTCCCGTCACAACCTGGATTCAAGTGATGCATCCCCAGGGTATGACAGTAACCCATTTTAATCTCACAAGAAATAAAAGGGAGGAATGCAAGCTAAGAAAGAAGAGCTCAGCACCACCAGGAAAGACTCGCCAGGAGTGGAGTGCCTCCTTTCACTCTCAGGCCCTGTGTTAAGAAGCTTCACTCCAAGGAGACCAAGACACATGGAGACTTCCAAGGAGCACAAGACCTAGGGGTGCTGATGTGAAGGCGTACTTTCCTACACAGTCAACAGAGAGGGAGCCATCCCCTAAAAATTGCATCCTGAATTTGGACTTCTCGCTCAGCATATCTTAAGCTCAAGGAACTGAAGAACAAATTCAAACCTCGAGTTGCTATAATCAAGGATGCTTTCAGCAGAACGTTAAATGATCCCGGAAGTATTAAAAAAAGATGGAAGGAATATACTGAATCACTGTATTGAAAAGAATTGGAAGACACAGAAGAATTTCATGAAACAACATATGAGCA